CCTCTTGTGTGTTTTCAAAGATCATTGAAATCTATGGGTTTTGTTTGTTTTGCCCTTTCTTTCCCCTGTGGTCCCTCCCTCCAGATTGCAGAGAAGTTGATGTTTTTATTTTTTCATTGCTGGTTATTGGCTCTGCTCTTGTGTGACTCAATGCCTTGTTACTATTTCTGACCTTCATGATGCTTATCCTTCTTTCTTCTTTTCTTATCTCTTCTGTCTCTCATGCTTTTTTATACTTTTCAGCACTTGTGTTAAAAGGTTATTTTAAAAAAATGACTATTAATTAAAGCTAAGTTTTTCTTCAGGTTACTGAGTTGATCAGTTGCGATACATAAATCTTATCTTTAGCTCTTTGATTTTTATTGGTTCTTAATACATTTCTTTTAAACCAAAAAACTTTTTGATTCAGAGCAACACTAAAGAATTAGAGAAGAGCTAACACTGAAAAACTGAGTACACAAATAATGGATGTGCTCAGGGTAACCCAGTCTCTATCTTCAATCTAACGTGTCCTTTCCCTCACTCAATTCATTCAACAAACATTAAGTACCTACTGTGTGCCAGAATTTGTAGTTATAAAAGGGACCGTAATGATCACTTAGTCTAGTCTTTTGATTTTACAGAGGAGGAAACTGAAGCCTGAGTAATTTGCCCAAGGTTACAGAGCTGCTTAGTGGCAGAACATCAGGTTGTTGTAAATTTTTCCTGTTTCTTTTCTGAAAATTGTTTGCTTTTTTCTTTGTCTTAAGGGAAAAAAGCTATCTCAGTTTTTCAGGATAATGGTATATCTGAACCTTGCACTTTATATTATATTTCTGTTTCTTAGAATTTTCTTTGCATCCCCGGAAAACATGAAGCTTTCCTGACGATCTGTATTTTCTTCTCTTTTCCAGAAGATGCTTAAACTTGTGTTATTATAAACTATCTAGCTTAGCTAGATCACTCTCTTCTTTGTTGGACAAAGGATATGATTTATACACACAAGAAATGGGATTTTTTTTTTGCTTGTTGCTTTATGTCAGAGTATGCAGTCCTGTTTTATTTTCTACAAGTTTTTGCTTCACGCAATTGAATTTTGTCCCTATATTCTTAATGGAGAGTAATGACGTTTCTTTTAAAAAAAAAAACCAAAAAACCAAAAAACCAAGCCTTTATTTATGCCTTTAAAAAAGTCTAAGTGCTTTAAAATAACTCCTCTATAGTACTTTACCTTTTTTTTTTTTAAATTAAAGATAAGCAAAACTGTCCTATGGAGCAGTTATGAGTGACAGAGGATGTAATATTTTTTACCCATGGTTTTCCACCTTTATACTGAGAGAAAAAAGTGTGCTCTGTGTTTAATCTTTTGGAACCATCAGTAGTCATTGTATTTGGTTTCAGGTCTATTTGTGTTCATTTTTATAATTGTTGTTTATGTTGGACAACTTTTACCCTGGATCATTTTATATGACCCTTAATGTGTTTCTCCAGCTTTCTCAAGTTGGTGTTCCTTTTAGTAATGTTCTGTAATACTTATACTGCACAGTTGTTCAGAGCTGGATAACTTTCACCAAGAATGCTATAACTGAATTGGATATTAAAAACCTGGTGGTATCATTGTATATAGTGAATTGTAGAGCCATTGGCAAATGTTAAAGGTATTAATATTTTTGGGAATGTGATTGTGGTTCATAAGATTAATATAATGTAGCTATGACTTTTTGTATTTTTACAGTTTACCTGACATTGTTATTACTGTGGAATGTGCAGACATAAATATCTGATTTTTGACAGATCCTAAGTTTACTAAGTTAATAGTACCTTTTTAGGGATATTTGTAAAACAACCAGAGGCTTACTCTGCTCTCTTGCTCCATATGATCTCTATTCAGTTCCTATAACACTTGATATTGTAATACAGCATAATAAGAATTAAATTCCAAAGATTCCCTTAATTTTCTTTTATCATTTGGTAACTAGGTTGTCTTTTATGACAAGCATAATTATAGCTGTAGTGATGCTCTACTTGTTTGGAGGTTAATCCTTTATCACTCTCACCCCTTACTGTGGACCATTTAATAAAGATGGAAATAGCCCTTTATAACTATAGTCCCTATCAGAAACTAACATTTAGAGCTATCCAAAACTTAATTGACTTCCTGTAGAAAGATAATAGGTTTTTTTCTTACTCAAAATCATAGATGCTTGTGATGGAAACTTTGTCTTTAAAAAAAGGTTTAAATTATATTTAGTTTACTACTTTCTTTTGACTTTGAGCTAGATCTCCTATGACACTGATGAGGCGTTTCAGTAAATATACTCTCCTTTTTTAGAAATTAGCACTAGATAAAGATTGAGGAATCAATTAGGTAGAGATGATAATTGAGCCTGCTGAAGCAGATGAGATCACCAAAGAAGGAAATGTAGAGAGACATGAAAAGTCGCCCTAGGGGTATTGGGGTACCTGTACCAGATTATGACCTAGCAAAGGAGACTGAGAAAAATGCAGGTTGGTTAGGCAGGAAGAGAACTAGGAGAAATTACTGTTGTGGAAAACCCGAGAGAAAGGAGTATGTCTCATTCTCTGATATAATAATAGATAAATGTGACATTATTGTTTTTATCTGGAGTTTTGTGGAAAAGCCAACAATAATAAATAAACTATTTATAAAAAGATGACTAGAACTTTGCTTAGTGGGTTGTATATTTATCTGTGTGTGCATGTGCATATTTCAGTAAAAATTACCTGGTTCTTTCGATAGGAGGAAATAGAGATGAGGGAAGAAAGCATTTTGGGCATAAACAATAAGTGTGAAAGCAAGAAATTGTTAAATGTATAATTTAGAATATGTGATGTGGAGTAATAGATTGAGATTAAAGCTGCAAAGGTTAGTGTGGCGGTATAGTTGGGGGAGGCCTTAATGCCTGCTAATTAGATTTTATGGAGGAGTCAATGTGGAATCATTAAAGGCTTTTAAGTAGAGGAATCACTCAATCATACATAGGGAAGAAGGATAGATTAGAAATTAGCAATAGTATGATGGCAGTGAAAGGCCAGATAGTAAAGACATTGAAAAAAGATATGGTAAAGATATTGAAGAATTAAATTTATTTATGTATTTGGTTTTTTTTGGCAGTTGGGGTTAAGTGACTTGCTCAGGCTCACACAGCTAATAAGTGTCAAGTGTTTGGTCTGAGGCTGGATTTGAACTCAGGTCCTCCTGACTTCAGGGCTGGTGCTCTATCCACTGCGCCATGTAGCTGTCTGAAGAATTTAAATTGATAAGCTGTAGCAAGTGATTTTGTTAAATGTGATCATTAAGGAAGATGGATTGGGTATACCATTGACATGACTAGAGAAGTCAGAAAGAGACTAAGATTTTAGTCATGTTCAGTTTTTAGTGTTAGTAAGATATTCAAATAGAGATACCCTATGAGGCAGTTGAAGATGAAGGTCTGTAGTTCAAAAGACAGGTCAGGAGATAGATCTCTGGAAGTTATTTGCCTAGACTTAGTAGTTGACGTCTTAGATATGAATTAGAATGCCAAGGGAAAAAATAGAGAGAAGGAGAATAAGGGCACAACTTTGGCAAATAACACCTTTAAAAAAAGGGGTAAGGAACAGGAGCCAGAGAATTGTCAGAGAGACCAAAGTTATGTCACAAAATTAAGGAAGAAGAAGAGTGTAAAGGAAGATTGGCTGGTAAACAGTGTCAGATAGTAAAATGGGTAATTGGATCTGGCAATTAGAAGATCACTATTGACCTTTAAAAATGGTTTCATTAGTCTTTGGATTGGAAGCTAGAATATTTGTGGAGTAAGCCAAAAGAAGCATTAGATATGGACATGAAAATAATTTGGATGATGTTTCCACAGCTTCCTTTGATAACCTTGTTTCTGGGTTAAATTAGTTTTAATTCTGGTTCATCAAAATGGTGAATTCTTCATCATAACAAATATATATATTTTTTCACCATAACAAATATTGAAGACCATTTGTGGAATTATAGAGGCATGTGAATGTGGGGGGATACCTACTTGTATGAAATTACAGCTTCCTGAACTATTAATGTAATGCTAGGATATTTGTCCTTCTGTATAGTAAACTAAAGAGTCTTATTGTTTCTACAAGTTTTTCCATTATTTTCCATTTGTTCAATCTTGACGTAAGTATTTTGGCAATATTGTCTTTTATGCTAATGAAATCGATGATTTTGAGATGCAAATAAAAAAAGTCCAGAATTAGATATTAAAACAATTATGATTCTTTTGTACATTTTTCCCATTTAAGCAATTACATCTGAATGTACTAAAAAAATCAGTGAACTTCTTTATAGGAGCACGTCTTGGATTATTAAACAACTAAACTTTTAGTTTGACGAAAAAGTTCATATTAAATTTGAACACAAAATATGTTAGGATTTCATTTAGTGGGAGTGTTGGTTAATAATGGATGCTTATTTGATTTGTCAAGGAAGAATTGTGTAGAGAATTATAACTGTTCATAAAAAGTTTTTCCTGCACTTGTGTTAGAGGCCCCTTTCACCAAACACCATGTTGTTTTCTTTCTGATTTCTTGCTTAGAGGAGTATCTGACTAGAAAATAGTTTATTTTTTGCTATCCACATCCAAAGAAAGAATTGATGGAGTCTGACTACAGATTGAAGGATACTGTTTTCATTTTCTTTAATTTTTTCATGTTTTTTTTTCTTTTGCAAACTGTTACTTCTTTCACAACATGACTAATATGGAAATAGGTTTTACATGATTACACATAAATAACCTTTATCAAATTGCTTAACCATCTTAGGGAGCGGGGAGAGAAGGAGGGGTGAAAATTTGGAACTCAAAATTTTATAAAAAATGAATGTTAAAAATTGTCTTTATATAATTGGAAAAAAAATAAAATACTATAAAAAAGAAAATAGCTTATTTTTGTCATCATATTTAAATTGATTTACCCTATTTTGTATAAAACGTTGTGAAATGGAATAGTTAATCTGATATGGTTTCTTTTTGTAGGCTACAGAAAGTGAGATAGGAGATGTGGATTTGACAGGTCTACCTGAAGCACCTGTTGATTCTGAGGATGAAGAAGAGGAAGATGAAGACATTGATCGAACAGCTGATCCATTGCTAGGGAGAGATCTTGTCCGAGAATGTCTTGAAAAGGAGCCTGCAGATAAAACTGATGATGACATTGGTAGGATACATAATATGCCAATTAATTATTACCTAAAATTTAACTTGAAAGAAGTCATCTTAAAGCTGAAAATTGCTTAGAACTCTTTTCTTTATGTCCTTGTGTTGTGATCCTTAAGTGTTTAAAACTCCTGTAGTACTGTCGTATGGTGTCTAGTTTTCCCCCTTTCACATAACATACTGTATCATATATCGACTACACAAAGATTAACATTCTTTGTATTCTAAGAAGTATCACAATATGGCATTGTTATGCTAAGGAAAGTTACCTCATTTACATTTCCAATTATATTACTTAATACCATCATATTGACATGAATCAGTTAAAAATGTGTCTTAGAGCCACATATTGTAGGCCTTTGTATTAGAAGATGGGCTGCAACTGATAGTGACTGTGATGTTTGTGCTTCAGTGCCTCATAGAAAGCTTTCTGTAGTATGTCTTGTCAAATTGTATTCAAAACTCTTAAACTTAGACCATGTTATCCAAGAAAAAACTCTTTAATGATTATTTATAGATAACATGTATATAGATAGCACTTTTAAGATTTGCAGAGCACTTTATATACATTTTTTTCACTTGAATCTCACAACCCTTTGTTTAGTACAGCAATACCTGTACTGTGGGTATTATTATAATCTTCATGTTACAGATGAGGAAACGAGCTTGAAGTAAAGGGACTTGTCCATGGTTACGTAGCTAGTGCATGTAAAAGGTGTTATTTCAACTCAGGAATTTTTTTAAAATTTAGATCTTTCTGACTCCGGGTCCAGCGCTCACCAGTATCACACTGCTTCTCTGAATGAAGAAAAAATATATTTTGTGTTATTTAGCCAAAGCACAGACTTTGAAATGTAGTCAATTCTCAGTTATCTCTGAGTTGATTGTCATAGGACTGATTGTCTGGATCAGATAATGCTTTACATTTCTTATTTGTGTGATTTCTTACTCTGTTTAATTAAGTACATTTTTACATAAATGTGATCTTTTATTATAGCCTAGTAGTTCCCAGCCTGTTGACTTCCCTTGTAGGCAGTGAGATTGTTAGAAAGGGTTCTTTCATTAAATGACTCGGTATCATAAATAAATATATTTTCTGCAGACAGAATAATCTGTCTCCCACATATATTTATTACTGTTTTCAAATATATATAGCTGCTGTTGTGGTTACTAAAATACAAATTTAAAGGTATTTCCAAATCCATAGCAATTTTTTTGGCATGTATTTTATTAGTCAACAGTTACTATTACTATCATGTACAATATGTACAACAGTACAACTATTCTCATGTAAATCCGTCAATTTTTTTTAATGCTAAAAACAGGTCATCAAACTTGACAAGAGTATAAGAGCTAACATAGATGGCTTTTTAAAGCAGGTCATCCCAGAGAAGGTATGAACCAGTAATCTTGGAGAGAGACCAGCTTTTCTTTGGGAAAGGGGTGGGAGTGGTGTGTGCTTTGTATTAGACTCATAGGGAGAATACTGTCTTTAGTAGGTGAAGGAAGAATTCAGGTGGGTGCCAGGTTTGGGACTTTGGATAGCTCCAGAGTTCAGATGGTTTCATTATTTTGTTTTTGAAGGGTTGTGAATTCCCAGGTCATCATATATACCTCAGTTCACATGTAAGTATTGAACAATTTTTTAGTACCAAATAGAAAGGATTTTTTTTTATTGTATCTTTTAAAAATATCTATTCTACTGTGTTCCTCTTTTAGCACAAAAAATCAGCACTTGACTAAGAATTTTAAGCTCGTATTTAACTTGGGTTACTGTTTTTAAATTGTAGCCCTCCCTTACTGTTGTCATACTAATGTTTCATTTTCTATAGAGCAATTACTGGAAATTATGCATCAACTACCTGCCTTTGCAAATATGACCATGTCTGTAAGAAGAGAACTTTGCTCAGTTATGATCTTTGAAGTGGTAGACCAGGCTGGAGCTGTCATTCTTGCAGATGGTCAAGAAGTAAGTCATGGCAAATAAATGTTTGTTATATGTTAATGAAATGGTTTAAAAGATAGCTTTTCTTGAAACATATCTGCAAGTTAGTTTTTGAAATTTTTACAGAGTTGTAATATGCAGTCAGTATTTGTAATTATTTTTGTCTCGTAGTTTTAAAATTTTATACATTTTGAAAATGTCAGTTAGGTTTTCTGAGCATTTCAGTTGCTACACAGAAGAGTTTTTTCCTTTTTTCTATTGGGTTTGGTTTAACTTCTGTCTTTGGGCCCTATAGGTTCCTGTTTCAGTCTTAATCTGAATAAAATCATTATTAAAGCATGGTGCTATGGAAAGGGAACTAGATTTGGGGTCAGAGGCCCTTGTTTTGAATACTAAGATCTCTTTGACTTTGGACAAATTTTTAAATTTCTTTGGATCTCAGTTTCCTCATCCATGAAATGAGGTTGGAGTAGTTGATGTCTAAGGTCCCTTCTAACTCTGTAGCCTATGATTTTAAGATTACTTGAGCTGTAACATAGAAGATAGCTTGGAGAGGGAGAGACTAGAATCAGAAAATTGTAACCAAGAACTATTCTCAGCCTTATCCTTTTAAATATATTTTTTTTGTGTGTGTGAATTTCAGCTAAACTGAGCTGCTTGCTGTTCCATACACAATACTGTATCTTCCCTTTCTAGTATGTTGCACGGGCTACCCTCCCTTCTTACCTCTTGGAATCTCTAAGTCACTTCAAGACTTAATTCAAGTTTTACTTCCTCTGTGAAGACCTTCTCTGACCCTCCGCCTGCTGTTGTGCATAGTGCATCCCCCTAGCTCACCCAAAATTACTTTGTACATATTTTATATTTATTTTGCTTTGTACACATTGTCTTTCCTCCAGTAGATTGTAAACTCCTTGAAACTAGGCACTGTTTTCTTTTTTGACTTGAAATCTGGCGCCTGGAACACAGTAGATATTTAATGAACATTTGTTGAAGTTCTTGACTGAAAACATTGATGGATCATGCAAAGTTGGGAAGAACAGATAAAGGTTGGAACACAAAATTACTATGCAGAAAGTTTCTGACAGGCTGGAAAAATAGGCCAAATATAGCAAGTTATAATTTAATATGGCTAAATGTGTAGTTCTGCGTTTTATGTTTTTTAAAAAATCAATTCCATGAGTAAAATGGGTGCTTTTTGCTCTTATTCATATTGTGTCATGGACCAACTCTCTTAACTGATCTTCTTGAATCCGTTTGACTTGCTTGGTCCTCTGACCAGCATTCACTTCATGTGTATAACCAGGTTACCAGTAATATTGAGAAGTAGCTTGGTGTAGTGGCTAGAGAGCCAACTTTGAAGCCTTGAAGTCCCACCTCTGAAACATATTGACTATGTTACTCGAAGGCAAGTTCACTTAAGGGTTTTGGGAAGTTCTCTTAAGACGGTAAGTTATAGAGAAGGTGCCAGCATATATGGGCTGAAGGAATTTCCATACCCGGAAGTTCACTTTATAAATGAAATCACAAGTCAGGCCCTGTCTTTTTTTTTTTTTGGGGGGGGCAGTTGTGGTTAAGTGATTTGCCCAGGGTCACACAGCTAGTAAGTGTCAGGTGTTCGGTCTGAGGCCGGATTTGAATTCAGGTCCTCCTGGCTTCAGGGCCAGTACTCTATCCACTGTGCCACCTAGCTGACCTCAGGCCCTATCCTGTCTCGTATAACATCAACCATCCAATAACAAGCATTTCCAGACCATTTTCCAGGAATTAGGAATTTGAATACAAAATAGACATAGTCCTTGCCCTCAAGGAGCTTACATTCTTGTGGCTATTCTGGATGTTCAGAAAATGGTTTTTTTGGAGAGGAAAATACAGGGGAATCAAAAGCCTTTTGGAGGATGTGTCACATCAACTTAAGTCTTGAAGGGAGTGAAGGATCATGTGAGACAGAGGGGAAAGAGGTAAGCATTCCAGGTTTGGAGGATAGCCTGTCAAACAGCATGGAGATGGGGGATCTCTACTGTTGGAGGTAGGAGATGGAACATCTGGGGAACATGAAGCAGACAAATTCGTTCAGAACATAGAGTGAATGTTTAATATGCCTGGAAAGATAGGCTTGAGCTAGATTGTGAAAAGCTTTAAATAACAGAAGTAATCGGTACTGACTGAGGCTCAAAAACATTACACATTATAAAAATGAGAAAAAAGTGTTGTTGGATAAGTGGGTAAGTGAATGTGTGTCATAGAATAGCTAAGGTCTGGGGAAGGAAGAGAATACCTAGTGTTTTTAGATGAGACTGGTCCTGTGACTCTCATCCCTTCATTTTCTAATTGTTTTCACTTTCGTTCACCCAAAACAATTGGTCCACATACATTCTGGGATTTTCTAGTTGAATAGCTTTTAACTAGATGCAATATAGGTTCCCTATAATGAAGTTATTAAAGTCCTCCATAAAGCGACTTTGGGGTTGCTTTTTCCAGATAGAAAAATGCATTTTCCCTCACTCAGAATTGGTTGGGGAAAGGAGAATAGGCAAAAGAAATGGTAGAAAATCAAGCAGAGATTAGTAATTTTGAGTTGGAATCCTTTGTCTGAGAAACAGAACTAACAGTAGTATGTCAGATAATTGACTTTTTGTTATATTGATGTTTTTGGAGCATAATTTGACCTGTAATATCTGAGGTTTAGGAGGTAAATGAGTTTTATTGCAACAGCATTCATGTCTTAAATTTGGAATTCTGTCTTAGTAATTTCTACTTCTGTAAACTTCATGAGTCGTTTGACCCACGTGGCTCTCCTTCTTTCAGGCTTTCATGTAATTTCAGTTCCGTGTTTAGGATGCTACTGCTATTACTACTATTGCTACTTCTACTAATATAGCATGTTTATATGGCATTTTATAGTGTATAAAATACTTTCCTCACAACTATTTTATGAAGTAGATAGTATAAATATTACTATCGTCTCCATTTTATAGATGAGAAAATTGAGACCCAGAGAGGTTAAATATTCCCAAGGTTAATAATCATTCTTTCATTTATAAATTTCAGGGAATAATCACAACTTATGTTTAGGAGGAAATTATCTATCTATAATTTATTGATAACAGGATGAAGGACCTTAGTAATCCAGCTGACATTTATCTACCATTTAGAATTTACACACTTTATCTTATTTGATCCTCACAACAACTCTTTGGGGTTGGTGCTATGGATTTTTTTTTTTTACGATGATGCTATTGAGACTAAGAGACTTAAAGCAATTTGCTTAGGGTCACAAATGTAGTAAGTGGAGGAAACAGGAAACAGTTTTTGCATACAAATTTCTCCTAAATCACACACACACACACGCACACGCACACGCACATGCACACACACAAGTATGGCCAAATACAGCCAATTTGGACAGTTATCCAGAACCTTCCACCTAGGAAATAGCCAGGATTTAAGGCAGTTGGGGTTAAGTGATTTGCCCCTGATCACGCAGCTGGTCTTAAATAGCTAGAATGTAGCAATGTACTGGAACTAGCCAGTCAGGATTGTGCACTGAGCTGAATGGTCCATAAACATTGCAGTTTACAATTTTATAATTAAGAGGCAAGAAAAGGAGCCCATTACAAATGTGCTGATAATATTGTAAAGTTCCTCCTTTATCCCCCAAACTTTTTTGCATGCCCCATTAATGACTTAGTGATATACAGATGCAACTGAGATAGTTCTTTGTAACCATGTAAATTAATGGTTACATCTATATATTCATTTGTCACTTTGGCTGTTTCTTTCCATATGTGTTCTCTTCTCACTCTGGGAAAAGGGCTTTGTCAGACCAGACTGACACAAGCAGTGATAGAGCTAGGAGTAAAACCTAGGCCTTCAAGTCTGATGCACCTTTCAGTAGACTATTTTAAAGTATAGTCTTTATGGAGAGAAAAATGTTCTTTTCTGAAGGGCAGACTTTTAATTGAAAACAGTCATTCAAATGGAAGTAGTTTCTGTATGGGAAATGGTGTTGGAATTACTCCTGCTGTGAATAAGCAAGAAATATTTGAAGTCACTAAGATTTTGTCTTTTAAATGCTCTAAAAGAAAATATTAAAATATAAGTTTTTTCTTGCAGAAGCTTTGAAAAAAAAGTATTTTATATTGTCATTTATCCACCTAAAACTCAACATTAAGACTCCTTTTTTCCTACAAATGTTCCTGCAAAAACTTACTCTTGGGTAATTATGAAGGTAGTAGCTCTCATTTTCTGGTGGAAGCAGTGGATTAGACAAAACAGTCATTTTTTGCATGAGGCAGAATATGTTGGTAAAGTATTTAGTAACATGTAATCCTGTTTTGAAGAGAGTATTCATTATTACAAGTTATTTAAAAGTAATTTTCTATTTTTCTTCTGTAGCTTGATTCATGGTATGTCATTTTAAATGGAACTGTAGAAATCAGTTATCCTGATGGAAAATGTGAAAGCCTGTGTATGGGAAATAGCTTTGGAATTATTCCTACTCTGGATAAGCAGTACATGAATGGAGTTGTCAAAACCAAAGTAGATGACTGTCAGGTAAGCATATCTAAATATGCATGGATAGGAATGGTTGTGATTCAAAACGGCTGAGCAGACAGTTTCTCATTCCTTGAACTGTTAAAAAAACAACAACCCAACAAAGCTTTATTTAATAAATTGAATTTAAAAAGCTGTGACTTGTGAAAGGAAAACTAAAATTTATAAAGATTGTTTTGTAATGTTTCCACTCATGTGTTTAGTTGAATTATTCTGTTTCTAAGTTAAGAAATAAGAACTTGGTACTTACTGGCTTGCCTTGGAACACCCTCACTCTGTATTTATCAGGAATTAGATGTTTATTTCTGTGTTTTGGATGGCATTCTAAATTCATTGGATTTTCATGTTGAGATTATTAATTGTAGTTGAACTTTAGATAGTAATTGAAGGAGCTGATCAAGAAAGGTCTAATGCCCCTGGGTTTTTTACAGTTGTGCTCTGCTTTGGTAGATGATGATATATTTATGTATTATCAGTTTATTAAATGTCTCCATGTTATTCTTGGGCAGTTTGTGTGCATAGCCCAGCAAGACTATTGGAGAATCTTGAATCATGTTGAAAAAAATACCCATAAAGTTGAAGAAGAAGGAGAAATTGTTATGGTACAAGAGCACAGAGAGCTGGATCGTAGTGGAACTCGAAAAGGGCATATTGTCATCAAGGTAGGTTTTTTGGTGTTTTGTGTCAAAAGACCTAGAAAAGTCAAGAATAATGTCTGGTCTAATTCCCAGATATTAGAGGTGAAGAAACCATATCTATAGAGCTGGTGCCCTTTTATAGATATGGTCAGGTAAGAGAAATGAATTGTTCAAGGTTGCACAGTTAGTCCCATTCTTCTTATTTCCATTCTTGGCCTCCTTCTGTTGTATGAGGAATGTTAAAATTGCTCTTGCTGTCACTCTAGAGAAAAACATTCATCTTATGCTAAAGCTTTTTTGAATTGCTTTTCACGTTAGGCAAAAGTATTAGGGAAGGATTAGAATATATTTTTCTTAATAATAGAACAAGAGTCTGTAAATGGATTTTATTTTACATTTTTAATACTAAAATATTGCTACATTACTTTAGCATTTTAAGTCAAGAGAATTTTAGTATTTTGCTTACCCCAAATTAATATCAGAATACATTGATAATCCATTAATTCATTACTGATTCATTAAGTATTAACAATGATTAATAATTCATTAGTTAATAAATTATTAGAATAGTGTAGCTGCTCTATACAAATTAAGCCATATTAAAATGCAAAACAGAATAACCCCAAACTTAATAAATGCTGAGAAGCAATGCTATCTACTTTTGTAGTTCTTTCAGCTTTTGCAGAAGTGTCTCAGTACAGTTTTTATTAGTCTGGGCTTAGCAGAAGGTAGACAGTTCACCATGAGCAAAGTTGTGGAGTTTGTGTCATTTGTCTTCTCTCTGCAGTTTCTTCTTTCTCTACCTTTTGCCCTTTTTCTGTACCCTTTTTCTTATCTTTGTTGGCCTCAAGTCACAGGAAAGCAGAGGAGGACTAGATAAAAATGTATTTTTACACTTGTTGATTAATTGACTGATAATTTATATATAAAATTAATTTAAGAAATACTGAGAAAACATTGGGAAATAGTTTTAACTGAACCTGGCACTGAAGTATTACCTCAACCTCAGTTCACTGGTCACTAAAGTCCTCTTTAAATGCCTCATTATGTAGTGGAGGTGGCCTTGCATTCTGAAGGATATGCCAGTCAAGTATAAGCTCTGGCAGGTTCTACCAGTCAATCACCAAGCATTTGTTAAGTGTTTTCTGTGTGCCAGTTCTTGTGCTAAGTCCTGGGGATACAAAGACAAAGTCAAAACAGCCCTTGCCTCTAAGCACACAAATATAAATCAGAACATAGAAGATAAATGCAGAGTAGCTGGATGGTAACCTTAGAGTTGATGGCACCAAAAATAGAAGAAATAAAGGTTTTGAATTTTGATGACTAGAAGGATGTTGATGTCTTTGTCACAGTAATTGGAAGTTCAGAAGGATGGATTTTGTGGGGAAAGATAATGAATTCTATTTTAGACATGTTGAGATTTAGGTGCCTACAGGACATCTTCTTTGAAATATCTACCATATGGTTGGTGACACTGTACTCAGGAGAAACACACGGGCTGGGTAAATAAACCTGGGCATCATCACAGATATAAATATTGTATCATGGGCACTGAGCATAGTGATAGGAGAGAGAAAAGAGGAGAGGGACTGAGCAGAGCCTTGAGAGATACCCACATTTAGTGGGATTGACATAGATGAAGATCTAGTAGAAGAATTAAGAAGTTCTCTCTACTGAGGTGATCAGCGGTGTTAAATGTTACAGAGATACCAAGAAGGATGCCCATTAAGAAGAGGCCACTGGATTTGTGATTTAGTAACTTTGAAGAGAGCAGTTTCAGTTGAATGATGGAGTCACAAGCCAGACTGAAAACAGTGTAGAAGAAGGTGAGAGATGAGGAAGTGAAGGCACTGATTTGCTTTTTCAAGGAGTTTAGTTTGGAGGGGGAGGAGAGAAATATAGGATGATAGCTGGCAGGCATGAGCTAATGCCTGTTTGTAGGCATCAAGGAAAGAGCTAGTCGATAGGGAGAGATTAAAGATTAGGAAATGGGATGACAGTGAGGACAGTCTTCTGGAGAAGATGGCCATAGGTGGGATCAAGGGATAGAGGACTTATCCACACAGAAAGGCCACTTCATCATCAGAGGCTGGAATGAAGGAAGATATAGTGGTGGTCAATGCCAGAGGGATGTGAAGTAAGGAGAAGGAAAAAGAGGGAAATCCTGATAAAAGCTTCAATTTATTTTTGAACACTAATGAAGTGAGGTCCTCAGCGAAGTGAGCGGGGAAAGTGCTTATGTGAGAGCTTTAGGAGAAGGAACACTTTCAAATAGCTGCTATGCTGGATAGGCTGGGAAATCAAATGGAAAGTAGTAGAATTACCTTGCTGTGGGGAGGACGCAGTCAGCATGGTATTGTGATTTCTTCTAATTCTCTTCAGGATTGCATGAACAGTAGTGAAGAAGCCTAATCAGTGATTAGGATTTGGCAAAACATACTCAGCAATAAGATAAGGGAAGAAGGGATTCAATAATAGAGGATGGTGTAGAGTTGAATTGGTTTGATCAAGGGGGTCAAAATTGAGAAAAGGCAGTGGAGGAATGTAGCCAGAGCAGTAGTGATAGCCTGGAATAGTGCTAAGTATTGTTGCAGTCTGAGGTCAGAGTAGGTTAGGAGGAGTGAAGCATATTAAAAAGGCATTTTAGATCATTTGGAAATAGGGAGGTATTTGGGGGTGGGACAGAGGGGCCTCTAAAATTGAGTTTTTAAAGTTATTCATTTTAACTTCATTTTTTAGGGTGACTGGGGGAGTAATACATACTTTCTTCATTGGAGCACAGTTTAGCCCTCTTCCACCCTCTTTCCTAACCTTAAACTAATCTCTTATTTTTCCTCCCTTTGCTAGAAGGCACCTAGATATAGATATCCCTAGACTTAAAAACACCTTCTTTATAAATGACTGATTTACAAATACTGTTCCCTTCTCCTTCCCTCTCTAAGTCTGCCTAAAATGACATAACACCTCCTTTCTCACACTATGAGATTCATATTATGCAAATATTTAGAGTTTTTAGAGAACCTGTGAATTCAGAAGTGTGGAAAAAGGGGAAAAACTGTGAAAAACCAGGTTTTTAAAGCATGAAACATTTTCCTGACCTGTAGATGTGGAGTAGATGTTTCATTGTAGAGCTTCTAATAGCTTGAGAACACTATACTAGATGGAAGAGGAGTGCAGATATGTATATAATTAAAAACATTGTTTATAGGAGAGTTCCTTCTGGTACCATCCAACTAACTACATTAAGCATTGGGAAATGATTTGTTTTCTTATACATTTTAGTTCATATTTAAGGATTTTTAATACTCTACCCACAAGGTACTACATCTTATCTGATGTCATAGAAAAAATTCCTGTCTCCTACATTATTTCAACTTCTCTGGTCTTTTCTAACAAAATACAACTGTTCCTAGAATCTACTTTCCTTGTTCATAGGGGTATTAAGTTGGTATCATTTGCAAAAAAGATATGTGACAAGTAATTTGTGATTGTGTCCAATCTGATCATTTGAGAAGGAAATATTAATGTGAAGCCAACTTGCTTGTATAGTTTTCTAGAAATATTTATCTTTGTATTTTTAGGCAACACCTGAACGACTCATCATGCATTTAATAGAAGAACATTCAGTTGTGGACCCAACTTACATAGAAGATTTTCTGTTGACATATAGGACATTTCTTGAAAGCCCCTTAGAAGTTGGAAATAAGTTATTGGAATGGTTCAAACTTGACAGTTTAAGAGACAAGGTTAGTTTTAGAAAAAGAAAAATGTTCAAGTGACTATTTTTAAAGGTTGAATCTGGATGTATTTGTGGTATAAATCTAATAAACAGTTAGTTGATGGTCTAAATGTGAAATGATCTTTATAGTTAATTTTTATGGCATCAGTATTTTGTGTGGAAGTTGCTGGAAGAGTGTATTATCATTTAGTTTTGAGTTGAAATAGTATTATTGGGGATACTCTTTTTAAAAATTGTAAACTAAAATACAGAACAGCAATGCTAGGTTGCATTATGGCTGAGGATTATAGTAACCTCAGCTTTAAAGAAAGAGCAAGAAGTTTTCTGAGGGTCCTAATACAGTGGTTTTTTTCAATGGCAGAATGAATTCTGGGAAAAGAACACTTAACCTGAAGACTAAATCAGTCAGTTTCCAAGAGAGTATAAAGGAATTTTTCTAAAACCACAGACAACCAAACCAAACCAAAAAATCCCCTTCAAACAGTTGTCCAAAGAAGACTTAATGTTTTCTGAATATGAGAGTTCTATAATCATTTGACAATTATTTCAGTAAAAACTTAAATGATCTCAGAGGGCCTTCTTTAAAATTCTCTCGATTTTTTTCTCCAAATAAATGCCATAAATTAGAAATACTGTGTTAAAATGGTTCATTGCACTGTCTTAAATAGTATGGTTGTATTAAATAGGCTATTTTCTCTTTACAAGGTAGGATATGTTTATATTTTTAATGAAATAGAAATATCTTAGCAATCTAAGTGGAAAGCGACTTATTTTAAGAAAAGAGAAATTTGAGTCATAATTACCCTGATTTACTTCTAATGTTGGATTTTAATAAAAGTAAGTCATCTGCTCTTGTAGTAAGATTCTGTAATGCCATCTCTTATATACTCAGATTTAGAGATGAGTGGGTGCAGAATATGCCATTTCATCACAACAAATTTTGTTAAGTAGTGTTTAAACAGGTGAACATTAAACAAATCATAGAACCAGCAGTTTTGAAGTACGCAAATGTATTTATTGATCAATTAAAGGAATCATAGAGAATGAGGAGTGTATATGACTAAAGTTGCCTTTGATATTAGGTATATTGTACAGTTGTTAAGTAACCCATAATTTCCATCTGCTAATTTTTAACTTAACTTGAAGGAAAGCATATAAATGGGCTTGTTTCTTTGAAGACCCTTCCAATATTAATAAGAAAAAAGGAGAATATAGTCCTATTGTTCATATTAATATGCTTATAATGCACAATTATACCAAACATATTTACAGCAGCATGAAAAGAAGCATGTTGTAGTGCATTAAGGATCCTGTCTTGTAGTCAAGACGATCTGTATTCCAGTCCTAACATACATTAACCCCATCACCTTGGACTGATCACCTAACCTCATGTTGCCTCAGTCACATCTTTTAAGACAACAATTTACATAATATTTGCCAATATGCATTGGTACAATGGGTTTGCTGACCAGGATTTCCTGACACAAGTAAAAATCACAACTCCAGAATAAAAAAAGATTCCTCTTCATTCCAGCCACTCAGTTTACACTTTTATAGAGCTTTAAGGGTTACACAGCTCTTACCTCATTAAAAAGAACTGTGAGGTGTAGGTAGCATGATTATTATTATACCCATTTTGTGGACAAAAAAACCCCTAAAGAGTCAGAAGTTACATGATTTGTTATTGATCCTGTAGTTATTATGAGTTTGAGGCAGGATTTAAACCCAGATTTACAGACTCCCACGTCCATTGGTTTATCCACTATGCCAGAATAATATGGTAGTCTATCCCCCAGGGTTTTTGGAAGGTTTAACAAATATCATGGATTTTTAAAAATGTATTAGTAGTGTGTCTTTGTCAGTCAAATACAGCCCATAACAATAATTTATCCGTTTTGCCTATCCATCTAACAGAGGAATGCAGAATGCATTTCTAGGCTAAATGTGGCTATTCAGTTCCTGGTTCCTGAATCTAAATCTAAGATTTCTCCATAATAGTGCTAAGCCAACTATTCTTACAGACCCCTAAAACCAATATGGTCATTTGGTGGTGGTTACCTGTAGACACAATTAAGCCTAGGCTTATTTTCCTTAAAAGTGGGAACTGTGTTCTTCCCTGAAAAAATAATTGCTTTACAAAAGATTTTCAAAATTTGTTCTTTGGGAGAAATAACCTAATTACCCCACTGTTAGCATATGTTAGTATTCATGTTGCAATAGGGATTTAAAATAATTCAGTTTTCATTTATTTTGGCCAAGCTGCTAGAGTCATGTTAATGAAAATTCATTGAGGAAGTTCCTTTATCATAATTATATACCCTGATTTATTCCTTTTTCTTCAGGTCACACGAGTAGTGCTTTTATGGGTAAATAATCATTTCAATGATTTTGAAGGAGACCCTGCTATGACTGGATTTCTAGAAGAATTTGAAAAAAACCTAGAAGATACAGTAAGATGATAATTTTAATTTTCTAATCTCTTATGATTTTCTTTCGAAAAGAGTGACAGCTCAGTTAGTATCATTCAGATAACACACACACACACACATACACACAACTATTGTGACAAGTTTTATTATTCAGTTAATGTCTGTAGTTTATGACAGGTTACTGCCATTTTGGCTCAACCATGAATACCTCTAGGAGCAAAATAGAGGGCTGAAGGAGTACAAATATTGTACTGTAGGTTATTCACATTGACCAGTTATTATTAAACAGGAAAAGTGATAGCTTATGGAAAATTAGAGTTATAGTTGAAATGGCTGGTGGATTTTCTGAGTCCAGCTACTACTTCAGAAATCTTTTATTTTTTTACTTCCTTCTCTTTTGCTGTGTAATCAGTAAATCAGTATACTATATGTTTATCTTTGTACTGAGAATTATAAAGAATGAGGGGAATCATAGTCATAGAATTTAGGACTAGAAGGGACCCTGTGTATCATTTGGTCTCACCTCTTTATTTTTTTACAAATATGGAAATTGAGTCCCCGCATCACCTAAACCATAAATAACAGTGCCTAGAATATAATTTATGTCCTCTGAAATGCAGTGCTCTTTCCATTCTATCATACTGGAAAACAGTTCAGATGATAAGACTTAAATATATAAAGTCATCAGAAAATAATAGGGTTTTTTTTTTTGGTTTGTTTTTGGGGGTTTTTTTTTTTGCGAGGCAGTTGGGGTTAAGTGACTTGCGCAGGGTCACACAGCTAGTAAAGGTCAAGTGTCAGGTCTGAGACCGGATTTGAACTCATGTCCTGACTCCACAGCTGGTGTTCTATCCACTGCGCCACCTAGCTGCCCCTTAGAAAATAATGGCTAAGGGTGAAGCTGTTAGGTCATTTAAGGGAGAGTTTGAGGAGAGGATGTTGGAGCAATTGAGAGAGAATTAACTCATTCAGTGCGGGACCTAACCCTGTCTCTAGATAGAAAGAGGTTAATAAAGAGAATGCTTTATACAAAAAAGAACAGAGGCCCAGAGGTAAGAAGAAGGAGTCCTGTCTGAGGTAGAGGGCATCTCTGTGTTGGAACATAATACAGAATTAGTAGTATAAATGTATTCCTGCATAGAAACAGAGTGTATTAGATTAACTTTAAAAATCATTTCAAAGTGGTTTCAGGTTAATGATTCTGTGGCTGTAAGAGAGCTCAGGTGATTTCATCCCAGTGTTTTATACCTATCACTTGGTGTTATTCCATTTATTATCTGAAAAATAAAATTTTTTTAAATTTTGAACTTTAAACACCAAGTAAAGCATTCTGTGTATTTTTTTTGAAAGTTTTTATAGATATTTTCTGTCTTTTAAATCATCATAGTGTTCTAGGTATTCCCCTTGCCCTCTTTCTAGAGAGCCATTCCCTATAACAAATAACTTTTTTTTTTGAGAGGAAAAAAAGGGAAAAAATGTTAGCACAGCTGATTGATACATTGAAAAAAATCCGAAAAACGTATGTAATGTTTAATACCTGTGGACCTTCCACTTCCACAAAGGCGTGGGTTGGGGATGCCCTTTCCTATCTTTTCTTCTGAGTCCTACTTGTCTTTATAATTGTCACATTTATTTTTAATTTGTGTGTGTACAGTCTGCATCATTATTCTTTCAATTTACATTGTTGTAGTTACTGTGTATGTTGGTTTTTTTTTTTTAAAGGCAATTGGAGTTAAGTGACTTACTCAGGGTCACATAGCTAGTAAATGTGAAATGTTTGGTCTGAGGCCGGATTTGAACTCAGGTCCTCCTGACTTCAGGGCTAGTGCTCTATCCACTGCGCCACCTAGCTGCCCCTTGTATATTGTTTTCTTGGCTCTGTTTACTTTGCATTAGTTCATAAAAATCATTCCATGCCTCTATGTATTCATCACACATCATTTCTTATCCATCCCATTATACCCAATTAACACAGTTTAGCCATTCATTCCCCAATTGATGAGTGTGTACTTGTTTCCATTTCTTAGCTGTCACAAAAAGTGCTGCTTACAAATATTTTGGAGTGTATGGGAACTTTCTTCTTATCAATGGTTTCCTTGGGATAAAAAAGTCCAATAATGAGGTTCAAAGTGTACGGACATTTTAGTCACTTTATTTGCATAATTTCAAATTGTTTTTCATGAAATTAGTGTGCCATTTCACAGCTGAAACAACACTATATTAGTGTCTGTCCTTCTACAACCCCTCCAACATTGTTGCCATTTTTTGTCATTTTTGCCAATTTACAAGGTGTGGAGTGAGGCCTTATGGTTTTTTCAGTTGCGAATCTCTTCTTATTAGTTATTTAGAGTATTTTTTTTTCATGTGGCTGTGAATGCTTTGCATTTAGGGTTGAGAATTATTTGTTCATATCCTTTGATCATTTGCTATTGTAGAATGACTGTTAGTCATACTATATATATATTTATTACTTGTTTATATATCTCAGGTACCAGAGAAGTTTGACAAAGATTTTTTTCCCCATTCGACCTCTTCCCTTCTTATCCTAGATGTATTAATTTTTCCGTGCAGAAACTTTTCAGTTTCAAGTTCCCTCTTCTGCTGCAAACACTATTATGTTCCTTCAATTACTGTAATGGTTTTTTTTTTACCCAGTGGCTCTCTTCCTCTCCCCCTGCGTCTCCTCTTCATGTTTGATGTTTCCTCTTCCTCGCTTCCCCTTCAGCTAGTCCTGTTCATTAGTTTTTTAATTTCATAATGTTTTTGCATTCCTTTCCAAAAAAATATTTCTTGTACTCTTATTATCCATCTTCTCTTTCTGTTTACTCTAGACCTTCTTTCACAGATTCATCACTCCTGTAATTGTTTGATCTCTCTCTCTTTTCTCGTTATACTTCATGTTATCAAAGATTCCAGGGTATCCATTCTAGGCTCTTCCTTATAGGCACTTTCTGCTATTGCCTTGTAAGGCTTGCCCCATGGATCCCCCCTTTTCATTGTGCATCGTTTCCAGAACAATGCCAATTATTTATTGCAGGTGTCAAAGAGGACACTACTCCATGGTAGGACCCCTTCCCCACCAGGTCCCTAATCATGCACCCCACCACTGATCTACACCCTCTCTTGTTGACCTTTTTTTCTCCATTTGCCTGGAAAGCTCTTCCCTGTGTCCATGCCCTCCTCCTTCTCAAGATGCAGTTGCCCCCAGGTGTTCTAGGGCTTCCCTTCCTCCCCTTGAAGACTTTTCCAGCACTAACTTTCCCAGGACTCATCTAGTCCTTATCTCCCTTCACCAAGTATCTTTCTTCACTCACAGGAGCATTCATTTGTGGAATCTTCTCTCATCTCCAAAGTATGGCATTCACCCCTCATCCCCCCTTTAAAATTATTTTCTTATTCCTCATCATCCACTGCCTTGTAGGCTTTTCTTTTTCTGAGACCTCAGACGGAGATCACCTTTCCCTCATTGCTGGCCTTTAATTTGATCACTCCTCCCTATTCACTTGTTCCCTTTCCCCACTTTTACGTACCCCTCCATGTTGTAATGCAGTCCCACGAAAGAAGCATTCAGCTGTAGACAGGATGTCACTAGGTTCTGTCCTTAATGTTCCCTGTCCGCCTCTTACTTTTGATACTTCTCTCAGATTTCTGCCTTCATCCCTGTCTCCTTGTGTACATTTAAAAAGAAGTCTCCTGTTGGTCTTTCTGTTGTCACTCTGTTGCTGTTACTGTTCTTGCCTTCTGCATTTATTCATTCCTTCCGCATTCCTTTTGTTTGGGGGTGTTCAAAATGAAAATAATCTCTTTAGTTCTGGTTTTCTTTCCAAAAATGTTTCAAACTCTTCTTCATTATTGAATGTCCATCTTTTGCCCTATATGGTTAAACTCAGATTTTAGGATAGATTACTGGGGCTACATTCTCAGTCCCAGAGCTTTTCATACACATTATTCCTCGCCCTCTTCCTTTTTTCTAATTGGAGCAGAATATTCTTGCATTGTTGAATCTCCTTTCGTTTATGTTTGAAGGTCTTTCTCCTGATGACTTGCAGAACTTGTTTCTGAGTTGAATTGCTAAATTAAACCACTGTGTATCTTGGAGTTTGCAGTCTTGGTTGTGTTTTTGTTTGGTTTTTTTCCCAGCAGAGGCAATCTGTGAATTCTTTCAATTGGAATTTCATTTTCTGTGTTCAGAAGTTCTCGTCAGTTCTGTTATTTCCTGCATTATGAAATTAAGGTTTTTCTCCGTGTCATGCTCTTCTGGGAGGCCCAAGATCCTTAGATTATCTCTATGCATTCTCTCTTTGAGATCTGTCTGTATGTTTTGCTCACATAGTGAACTAATGTTCTTGTTTTTAGTTTCATTTTTTCTGTTATCTTTCAGTTCTGTCTATTTGCATTCCCAATCTGTTTTCTCTTTTGGTTCTTAGGTAAGGCTTGTCAATGCAGATTCAAGTTTTTCTGTTCTCATTTCTGTTGTGCAGGACATAAATTCTACTCTCATAATTCTCGTTTCTCTTTAAACCACTCAGGAATTATATATTGTGGTTCCACGTTTCCTTCAGATCACAAGAGTCCACCATCTCAAGTGTTGGATCATTTTCCTTTATTTTGCAGTATTTATTCATAGATACTTCAACTTGTTTATTAGATGTGGAGGCTATATTTGTTTCTGTTGTAACTGTTTTTTTTCTAGTGATTTATCTGTTCACATTGGTACTCTCAGCCTTTATCATTCATTTCCTGACTCCCTTCCTTTTGATTTTGGTTTCATTGGGTGCTGGATCTCAAAACATTTTAGTCTCCTTCCACACTAGGCAATTCATGGTTCACCAGATTAAGTCTTTGCCCCAAGTGACTTGAATGGTCAGAACTGGCCCCAGATGAATACTGTGCTCTTTCCCTCGGTCTTAGTGGAGTGCTGCCTATCTCTCCACAAGCGGCATGTACTATCTGGGTGACTTAACACACTCCTTGTCTTCCTCAATTCTCTGGTCTGACATCAGCAGTTCACAGCCAGTTTTCCCTTGCAACAGCAGTTCAGAACTTGACAATACTAGTGCTTCTGGCTTGTGACCCATGGCAGGCTTTTGTTTCTTATGGGCTATTGCCATGCTGGCTGTTGAGGTCTGAGCAAACTTTCACAGCCGGGAGCTGGGGCACTAGAAAGAAGGAGGGGGAGCCTGGTTGCTGGCATGGGTTTTGGTGTAGGGCTGTGTTATGTCCTTGGGTCTGCTTGTGTGGCCTTGATGCCAGTAGTGTAGGAGGTAGGAGAGGGGTGATAAGTGAGCCTAGGGTGAGTGTCAGTTCCTGGAATTTTATTTTTTGCGGAGAGGGTCACCTTCTTTTGGATTCCGGGTGTCTTAGACCACGGAGGCATTTGAAAGTTGCTTTGTCTTTGGTGCATAATTTCTGTTTTGGAGAGATTTGAGGGGTTGTGGGATCAGAAAATGTTTATTCCATCATAATATTGCTCATATGATTCAGAGGTCCTCACCTCCATTTATTCTTAAGCATTCTTGTGTGCCTTTTATTTTATAATGTCAGACAGTGAGTCAGCTAGCATTTATTAATCCTTTGCTATTGTGTCAAGCATTGAGCTCAACTCTGGGGTTACAGCTTTGGAAGATATAACCTTAGTGGGAAGCTCCTAGCCTTTTCAGTGCATTTATCAGTTATGTTCATTTTTTCCCCTTTTTCTTTTTTTTCCTTAAAAGATACTATTTGTTATAAGGGGAAGCTTTCTGGGAAGGAGGAATACTGGGGAAAATTATTATGATATAAAAGCAAAAGACAATAAAATTTATTTTAAAAGGTGTTCATTGGTAACTTTGAAGGGAGCAGTTGGATGATGAAATTGAGAGCAAGATTGGAGAGATTTAAGAAGAGAGTGAGGGAAGAGGAAGTGGGGTCACTTGATTGTAGACAACCTTCTCAAGGAGTTTAACTTTGAAAGAGAGAAGATAGCAGGATGAGAGCTAGTAGAGATGAATGTATCAGGTGAGGAATTTTGTTTTTAGGTTGGTTGAGATATTAGTTTGTCTGAGGCAAGCAAGGAAGCGGCCGGTGGATAGAAAGAGATTGAAGATGAAAGAGTAGGAATAGTAAAGTGTATGGCCTTGTAAATAAGATGGAAAGGGATAGGAAGAAGGCTTACATGGTGGAGAGGTTTTCCTTGGCTCTGAAACAGTGATCTGGTGAGGTTATTAATAAATAATTATGACTAAAATACTTTAACAATGTGGTCTTTTCATGTTTTAAGGGAAAAATACAGGCAGTTTCCTATTTTTATTTACAGAAAATGAAGGGGCATCTCCGTTTGTTAAATATTGCCTGTGCTGCAAAGGCTAAATGGAGGCAAATTATTTTGCAGAAGACTTCCCGAGAATCACCACTTTTTTTCAGCCTCACTGGAGGAAATGAGGGGTTTGGTATTTTTGTGGAAGGAGTAGAACCAGGCAGCAAAGCTGCTGAAGCTGGACTTAAACGTGGTGACCAGGTAAAAAAAGATTATAAATAATATTTCCAGTAACAAAAATCTTTATAACATTTTCCTTTTAAGCATAATAAATATAAAATGTTTCGTGACATTTTCTGTTATCTCAAAAGAAATTTTGTATGTTGTATGGAGAGTACTTTTGACTCATATGATCCCTGACATAGTTTGATCACTTCCTTCCTCCTCTCTTGCCTTTCTTCATCCTTTATCTTGCCGTTTCTTCACTCACTATCGTCTCTCCCTCCGTCTCTCCATCCATCCCTCTTGTCCTTAAAAAGGTTCAGTCAGCGAAATTTTAGTTCATTTCAAAAGTATAACAATTTTCTATGTTAAAAAATAATGTTCAGGCAGCTGCTTCAGTAGAGTGGCAGTTCAAACTAAGTGGCTTTCTTGTGGTAGCATCATTGCCAGTTACCCAAAATGAGTGAGGAGGGAGTCCTATGGGACCCATTCACTGATACTTCAATACAGGACCAGGGCTGATGAAAAAAAATTTCCACTGGTGCTCCTTTGGAGTAAGCCAACTAACTTAAATATTTCTGTTTAGTAATAATAACAGTGATGGCTAACATTTATAAAATCACTCTCAGGTTTTCATAGCTTTTTATACACGTTATGTCATTTGACCTGAATAACCACCCTGTGTGGCAGGTGCTATTATTTCTCTCTTATGAGAAAATGGGGGCTAAGAGAGGTTAACTATCCCTAAGCTCATTAGCTATGAAGGATTTGAGACAGGATTCCAAGTCAGGTTAATATTATTCTTAAATCCATTACAACTCTTTCAAGTAGTTGAAAGAGTTGTAATGGATTTAAGAATATTATTGTTTAATGTATGTTTAATTATTTCTTTAGGATATGTGTTTAATAATACCATTTATATGTCTTAAGGATTTCTAAAGCACTTTACAAATATTATTCATTTTACCCTCACAACACCCTTGAAATGTAGGTGCTATTATTATCATCATCTACATTTTACAGAGGAGGAAACTGAGGCAGACAAGTTAAGCAATACAGCTAGTACTTTTCTGAGGCTGCATTTGAATTCAGGTATTCGTAACTCCATGTCCAGCACTCTGTGCACTGTGCCACCTTGCTGTCTCATGTATTAACAGAAATATACATTGACAAAGTTTATAACTTTTAACAGCAAAAAAGAACAAAAACCATAGGATCATTAGCATTTATTAATGTAGTTTTCTTTTCATTTGATTACTAATACACTGTTTTTCCTTTAAGGTAATGGAAGTTAATGGACAAAATTTTGAGAACATTACATTGGGGAAGGCTCTTGAAATATTAAAGAATAATACTCATCTCTCTCTGACTATAAAGACCAACATCTTTGGTGAGTTTTGTTGCATAATAAACTACTCTGAAAACATTTCTCAATGGAAAGAAGGTGGGTTTTTTTTTAGCTACTTTTGAAAATAAGGAGAATTAAAGAAGGAACAGAACCTCTCTGTTTGACCTAAATGGGACAGTAATATCAGATGGCAAAGAAAAGGAAGTGCCTTATGGTTTCTCTGCCAAGGAGAATGATCCTTAGACTACAAAAGGACAAAGCAAAAAACAGTATTAATAGAGAATCAAAAACCCAGGGTAAGACAGGAAATCTGAAGAAAGCAGCTAAAAAATATGCCTTCCATGAAGTTGAGTCACCAGGCCTTATATGCTCTACTTCCTCAGAATCTGAAAGAGTTTGAATTTGTAATTGCTGAGCCACTATGTGATTGATCCTTGAGTGATCTTGGAATGTGAAAAATAAGAGGCATGTAACAGGACTTGTGCCAAATATCTTGATTTTTCAGGAAAGGGAAGAGATTAGAGTCTGCACAAAATTCCTAGATTGTATTATTTAAGGGATGATTTTTTTGAACACCTGGACAGAAAAGTGATGGTCGCTAAGAGCTTCCTTCTTCTTATTTCTTGACAGAGTTAATGGACTGTTAGAGCAGAAGAATATAGCTGTATTTTCCTGAGATTTCAGCAAAACATTTGAGTTTTTCATGTATCTATATGGAAAAGATGGAGACCTGAGGGCTAGAAAATGGGAGACTGTAGAACTAATTGAATGACTTAACCCAAAAAGTGATTATTAATGAATAGTGATATGTCAGTGTGGATGAGGTGTGTCTCGTGAGGCTCCCTAAGAATCTTTCCTTGGCCTTCATGGCATTCTTTTTGTAAAATCTCTATTTTCCCTTTTCTTACAAAAATCTTCCTATTTCCAAATGTACCACATTAAAAAGAAGAGAAGATAAATGAACTTTACAGCAGCGTTGTCACTTTTATAGGATGTATGGGGAATATTTTATTCCTGGTGTGGAAAAAAAATAGAGGTAAAATGACTAGCTTAAGGCTAACATAAAGCAGGGTCTGTAAGCTGAATCATCTCACACCTATGGCTTTCTGTACCATATTGCTCTTTCTGTTGCACCAGAATGTAATCAAGCATGTAGCATGTTTTACACACACACACACACACACACACACACACACACACACACACTCTCATTATATAATTTAAAATGTCTATATAGATTGTTTTTATTCATATCATCTTAGGATATGCCATTCATTTGGAGATGAATGAATAAAAAATATACTTTAATATACTTTTAATGTCCTATATTTCTTCCCACACTTAAGTACTTGAATTTAAACAAAAAACAACAACAACAACAGTGAGGATGCATGATCATATATTTAAGATTTGGGGCAGAAATGTAAAATATTTAAAGATTAGAGAGTAGTATATTCAGGTGATAATTCCTGATATGCAGAACCAACTATATATATATATATATATATATATATATATATGTATATATATATATATATATATGTATATATATATATATATATATATATATGATGTGTGTGTGTGTGTGTATATATGTATATATGTGTGTGTATACACACACACACACACACACACACACACACACATCTTAAATTCATAGAATGTCGTAGTTGGAAAGAACATTAGAATTTATCTAGTGAAACATTCTCATCATACAGGTGGTAAAACAGAATAAATGACTTGCCCAGAGCCATTTTGACATGTACACACAGAGTTAAAGTTCCAACCAACTCATTCCTCAGTCCTTATCCTTACTTAGTGATCTGGCTTCTGATCTTATCACTCAACTGAAACATCTCTCTGCAGATATTAATAATGCCTTAATTGCCAAATATGATAATCTTTTCTCAGTCTCCTTTCTTCTTGGATTCTCTGATGCGTATGACATGAGTGACCACTCTCATCTCTAGGCTTTTGTGACAGTACTTTCTTCTGATTTTCCCACTCTGTCTGACCACTTGCTTTCATTCTCTTTGGCTGGTTCACTATCCAGATCACTCCCCATAACTGTGGGTGTATGTTCAGACTCTGGCTTGGACCTTCAAGCTCTTTTCTCTCTTCATACTCTCTCTCATTGACCTCATCAGCATTTATGGGTTTAATTATCATCTCTAAGGAGATGACTCACATCTATATATCCAGCCCCAGTCTTTCTCCCGTGCACTAGTCTCACATCATGAATTGCCTTTTGGGCATTTGAAAGTGAACATCTTAGAGAAGTCTCAAACTCGCCATGTACAAAACAGAATTCATTTTCTTTCCCATAGGGCTTTCTCTGCTACTGAAATTAGACACTGGCATTCCTCTGTTTTCCCAGTTTCATAACCTCTGCATTATCCTCTGCACTCACTCTCCCTCCCCCCACATTTCTAGCCACTTCATAGGTCTTGCTGTTTCTACCTGTATGTCTCTAGCATCCAACTCCTCTCTACTCAAACAGCTACTGCCTTCGTTTGGGCTCTCATTGTCTGTGATCCATGGTATTACAGCGTCCTCCTGATTGGTCTCAAGTATCTCACTCCAATTCATCCAAAGCTGCCAAAATGATTTTCCTTAAAAACAGATCCAACCACACCACTTTCCTACTCAACTCCAGTGGTCATTCAGTAAATATTTATTAAGTGCCTACCATGTGCTAGGCACTGTGCCTAAGCACTGAGGATGTAAAGAAAGCTAAGATTGTCCCTATCTGAAGGAGCTCACAGAATAATGGGGGAAATAGCACAGGAGCAACTATATAGTCAAAGTATATATACAGGATAAGTTTCAAATAGTTCACAAAGGGAGGACACTAGAATTAAGGGGGAATCAGGAAAGATTTCCATAGAAGATGGAATTTTAGCTCCATATATAAAAACTGCAGAAGTAGTATCTAGATGGTTAGCTTTAAATGGATATAGCATAGTTGTACAATCTTTACATTTTGCTTGTATATGAATTTGAAGAAAGCCAGTACTTTGTGGCATGTAACATAGAGCTTTTCTAATCCAAAGCATATTTTAAAAAAATATAATTCTGTATAGCAGGAATGCCACATATTGGCATGGGGGCTTCTCCCCCTACCACCTTCTATTCCCATTTAATGTTTTGATTACCAAGTGCAATTTCAGATAGTTGACCCATCTAATTTTTAAGTTTTTTTTTAATTTTTAATTTTTTTCATTGTGAAGAAAGCATTTTATAAGTTTTTTTTAAATTAATTTATTTTGGATTATCAACAATCACTTCCATAAGCTTTTGAGTTTTAAATTTTTCTCCCCTTTCCTCCCCACCTCCCTCCCCAAGATGGCATGCAATCTCATATACGCTATACATATACATTCCTATTAAAGATATTTTCACACTAGTGATGTTGTAAGTAAGACTTAAAACTAATAGGAGGAACCACCAGAAAGAGTAAACAAAACACAACAGAAGAAAAAAAAATAGCAAATAGTATGCTTCGATCTGCATTCAAACTCCATAGTTCTTTCTTTGTATGTGGATAGCATTTTCCATCATCAGGCCTTTGGAGATGTCTTAGATCCTTGTACTGCTGAGAAGCGTTAAGTCTATCAATATTAGTCATTGCACAGTGTGGCTGTTACCGTGTGCAGTGTTCTCCTGGTTCTGTTCACTTCACTCAGCATCAGACCATACAAGTCTTTCCAGGTTTTTCTGAAGTCCACCTGCTCATCATTTCTTATAGCACAGTAGAATTCCATTACATTCATATACCACAACTTGTTCAGCCATTCCCCAATTGATGGACATCCTCTCAATTTCCAATTCTTTGCCACCACAGAAGAGCTGCTATAAGTATTTTTGTACATGTGTGTCCTTTTCCCATTTGTGTGATCTCTTTGGGATATAGCCCTAAAAGTTCTATTGCTTGGTCAAAGAGTATGCACATTTTTATAGCTCTCTGGGCATGGTTCCAAATTGCTTTCCAAAGTAGTTGGATCATTTCACCACTCAACCAACAATGCATTAGTGTTCCAATTTTCCCACATCTTCTCCAACATTTATCATTTTCCTGTTTTGTCATGTTGGCCAATCTGATAGGTGTGATGTCGTATCTCAGAGTTGTTTTGATTTGCATAAAAATATATTAAAATTGTTTTTGTACCCTTCATTTCTGAATATATCCTTCCCCTATTAAGCCATTTCTTGTAACAGAATACAAAAGAGAAGGAAAAAAGAAAGCAGTGAAGCAAAACTAACCAGTACATCAACTGGATCTGATAATGTATGCAGTTTTCCATACCCCTTTACCATATCTTGGTCTTCACTTGTTCATTTTTTTCTTCTTTATCCTAAGGGTGAGTCTCTTTCAAGATCCAGTAACAGGCCTTCTTCTCTTCTCTACTATCTCATTCTTGGCAACCTCATCACCTCCCATGAGTTTAATTATCACTTATTTTTAGATGACTTCCATATTTATGTGTTCAGCCCTAATACTTCCTTTAACCTCCAACCTACCATCTCTGATTACATGCTAGATACCTCTGTACCTGGATGTTCTGCCAGGTCCTGAAACTCAACATCTGAAAAAGTAGATTGAAACATTTATTAAATGCTTAATATATGCATGTGTTAGGTGTACATATTATAAAGACAAAAAAAATTTACCTGGTTCTTAGCCTAAAACCCATCTCTTCACTCAGCTTCTCTCTGTTTATCTCTGTCTGTCTCTCTCTGTCTTTCTCTGAGTGGCTTTAATATATTGCTGCCACCCCACCCCCTGGTCAGTCATGGTTAAAACCCCATAGTCATCCTTTGAATCTTTCTTTTCTTTGTTGCTCCACCCTTCCCCAGATAATCACTCACCAAGTCCTTTCAGTTCTATTTCTGTATCTTTTATATTGATCCCTCTCATTCACATTGCCATTAACATAGTATCAATCAAAAAACATTTATTAATCACCCATTCTGTGTCAAGCACTGTTTTAAAAGTTGGAGATACAAATAGAGAAGTGAAACAGTCCTGGCTTTCCAGGAGCTTGCATTGGGGGGGACAGTGTGTGTGTGTGTGTATGTGTATGTATATGTATAAAAGAGAGGTAATACCGGAGATGAGAGGTACTGGGAGGATATAGAAAGACTTTTTTTTAAAAGATGATACATGAGCCAAATCTTGAAATAGGGATTCTAAAATGCGTGGGTGAGGAAAGCATGCATTACAGCTATAGGTAACTACTAGGACAGAGACACAGAGATGTGAAGTAGAGTGCTGTGTGGGGAATAGTTAAGAAGGACAGTTTGACTGAACAGTAGGGTACCTGAAGAGGAGAAATGTGTAATAAGACTAGAAAGGTAGATTGGGGCCAGGTTGTAAAGAGCTTTAAGCAGCAATCAGGGAAGTTAAAAAGTAGGCCCTTATCACCAGGAATATTGTAAACAGTTCATAATTAATCCTTCCCAATATTCAAGTTACTTGTGGGTGAATAATGGACAATTCAAAATATCCCAAAGAAAATATGTAGGCTTAAATTCTTCTATATAGAGCCATGAACCCTTTTGTCATATGGGGAATGAATGAATGGATGGATGGATGAATGAGCATTTTATTAAGTACTTATATATAGAGTACTATGCTAAGCACTGGAGGCACAAATAGAAAAGTGGAAACAGTCCTTGCTCTCAAGTAGTTCACATTCTAGTGGATAAGGTAGATGGAAAGTTCCATGGTCCCGAGCACATATGAGGGAGCATGGCATTCTAGTGCCTCATCTGCTCTGTCTCAGGCAGCATCTGGAAGCTCACTCCTGGCAGAAATAGAGTAGGAGGTAATGGATTCCTGGCCTTGAGACTGACATGTCCTGGAGCTAATTGAAGCAGGTATAGTGGTGCTTTGGTTTTTGGAGTGTCTTTGTTGTTCCTTCTAATAACATTCATATTACATTGCTTTAATATCTCGAAATTTATTTATTCATTTTCCAGTTGTTGAGTATGTAATTTCTAGCTTCTTTACTGTTAACCTGTGAATATTTGTTGCATGTATTGTTTTGATATATATATTTATATATCATTTATATATTTATATATATACTGTTTTGAAGGGCATGAACAATTTAGTAATTTTTCTGGCACAGATGATAATTTTCTTCCCACGATGTGCCTAATTACAATTTCTCTAGGGATGAATTAGTGCTGACTTTCCACACCTTCCTAAGCATTGACTTTTCCCATATTTCACAGCCTCAGTTTAATGATTATTTTATTGTGCATTTCTCTTAATAATTTTGGACACTTTCTCATGTCCTTTGATTACCTGTTTATTTGGGAATAACTTTCATACATTTTTGAATGTCAGCCTTGTACTAGAGATACAAGATAAAAAGATTTTTCTCAGTCTCTGTTCTTACTCTGGATGCATTGAGATTGTTTGTGCAAAGGATTTAAAATTTTATGTCATTGAAATTGTAACTTCCTTGTGAATTGGTATTTTTTTCATTCATTTTATTTCTATCTCCAGCACCTAGCACAGTGCCTGGTACGTAGTAGGCACTTAATAAATATTTATTGAGTGTTGGTGATTTACCATCTCTTCTGTTGTGTATCTGGTTTAGAATTCTTTACCATACATAGTTGGGCAAAATATGACAGCTGCATTTTTTATTGTGTGACTTTTTATATTGACTAGAGCTCTTTACTAGCACAGATCCCTTCTGTAGAAAATATTTGGCTGTTTTGGAATCAGGAAGACTTTAGTTCTAATTCTGTCTCAGACACTTACCAGCTATGTGACCTTTGACCAATCACTTACTGGCTTCACTTTACTCATCTATACAATGGAAATAATAATGGCACCTACATTACAGGGTTCCTGTGAGGTCAAATGAGGTAATAAGGGGAAAAGTGCTTTGCAGACTTTAATGTGATATGTAGATGTCATTTATGACATTGATAATATAAATATTAGTGGTGATTATGATGATGGTGATGATGAGTCAAGAAAAATAGGAAGTTTCAAAAAAGCTAAGTTGACATATTCGTTTTTATAAATAGTGGCCTTAGATTTTGTCAGTCATGGGAGGAGTTTTCTAGTAATAAAAAGAATTGTAATTTTTATTTCTTTATTTCCACAGTATTTAAAGAATTAATTAGTAGGACAAAGCAAGACAAAAATGGTGTTCCTCATATTCCCAAAATTGCTGAGAAGAAAAGTAATCGCTATTCTATTCCTGATATGCCTGGAGATATGGAACAGATGTTTCCACAGGAGAAAGGAAATAAAAAAATTAAAGCAAACACTGTTTCAGGTGGAAGAAACAAAATAAGGAAAATTTTGGATAAAACACGATTCAGCATCTTGCCTCCCAAGTTATTCAGGTAAATAATGATATTTAAATTAAAAATTTAAGTTCCATAGCAGTTTTCATGGTGATGGCAATTGGAATTTTAAAAAAAGTCTACTTTTTTTGTTTCTTAGAACTTCCTTGTGAATATTTTATGCATTTTCTATCCTTTGGCATGTGCTTATTTTTAGTCTTTGAATGTTATCACCTATATATTTTTATTTTTATTTATGTCTCTTTTTGGCAACTCAGTCTTGTTAATAATGTTCCACAGAGCTGATTTTTTATTTCTGACAGTGTGCACTGCACCAAAACTCTTGAATATATTTACAGGATTTTAAGTATACATTGAAATAAATAAAATACTGGAAAAACTGCACAAGAGTATAGCCTTACAAATTTTGTATTTTCCATTTTTGAAGATGTACATGGCCATCAAATATTTCTTTAGTAGATCTTGGATCTTTGTGGATAGTCTTTCTGTTACTGTAAATCTCGTTTTGTCTTATGCCATTCTTGTATATGTTCCTTAGACCTTCCACAGAGATCTAACAGATAGTTTCTATCCAATGTGCTGGCCACCTTTATCTAGCTTATTTTTTTTTTAAACATTCTATGAGTGCAAAACACTAGAGCTTTTCATCTGTTATACTTTACTACACGACCAGCCCACCTCCTTTTCCACTTGTACATTTCCTCATTGTGTCCTTTTGCTACTTCTTGAGTGTAGTTCATAGTAGAAACAAGATGCAGCCTACTTCAGCCCATTATGCAAAGCTCCTATAACTTTGACTCTTTGGCATCTGTGATGTTCCAAAATCAATATCACTAGGTGAACGTTTTTGTTGAAATGATTTTGTTTTTGTGCTAGAAAACAGCTTGGAGTCATTGAAAGCATTACACAGTTTGTGAAGTACACACACAGTTCACTCTTGTGTGCCTTTCAAAAAGTCCTTTAAGCATTTCAAACTCAACATGTCCAAGATAGAACTTATTATCTCTCTCCTTAAATCCATCTCTCTTCCCCATTTCCCTTTTAGTTTTGAAGGCACCACCATCCTTTCAGTTACCCACGTTTGCAATCTTAATGTCATATTCAACACCTAATTCTCACTTCTTATATATATCTGATCAATGATATAACCTTTCTCTTTCTACTTTCACAACATCTCTTGTATATTTTACTTTCTTTACTCAAATAAACTTTCATCACCCAAGTTACCACCACCCCAGTTTAAATCATCATCACATCTTATCTGGACTATTTGCAATAGCCTTCTAATTAGTCCACCTCCCTCAAGTCTATCCCCGTTTCAGTCCTCCTTCACAAAGCTTCTAAAGTATTTTCATATAATATATCACCAAATGATTCTTCACAAAGCCACCAAAGTCTGACTGTCACTTCTCCTTTTCCCCAATGCACAAAACTCTAGAAGCTCCCCATTATGCTTCCAGTATCAGATGTAAAGACCTTTCTTTGGCATGTAAAGCTCTTTTCAGTCTACTTACTTTTAACTTCTTACCTTCTTACGCTTTATTGCCTACCATGTACACACACAACACTCAAACTCCCATCATCGTGGTTTTTTTGCTCCAGTTCGTCCCTGAAATGCTCTCCTACCTCACTTCCACCTCTTAGAATTTGTCTTTTTCAGCACTCATCTCTAATGTCGCTTTTTGCAAGAAGTCTCTCTTGGGTCCCCTAGCGGCTGGAGTCTTCCCTTCTAAGTGTATTTTCTATCTATGCAACATATATCTTGCATATTAGTATTTATATACATGTTGTCTACCTCAAAGCTCTTTGAGGGCAGAAACTTTTTGCCCATTACTTTAGCACAGTGCCAAGCATTATAGTAACAGCTGCATTAATGTTTTCCAGCTGTTAGATTAATTGATATGATTCAATTTGATGCCCAGCTATAATGCCTAGCCTTGGTGTACTAAATCCACGGGCTGGCCATAGAACCGCTTGTCACAGTCTGGACAACAAACATTTCTCTTTAGTTTTAACTGAATGGATTGGTAGACTGATTTCTTTATTTATTCATTATGTATATCATTGAGGTGGCTCTGCAATGTTCTAGGTCTTGATGTTATCAGCACTGTAGCATCCTTGGAAAAAGGTATCTGTAGGACCTCAACAGCTATAAAGAATCTCTTCAATTTGTACCCAGAATAGGACGCTCATCATGACAATAGGAAATACCTTAGTGGACGTAGGTCTCCTTTTTATATAGTCTGCTTAATATTAGTCAAGAGGCTTGTTGAATGAAATTTAGCTTGTTGCATTTATCTGTAAATATGTGTAATCTTAATATATGTATGAGAGACATTGTTGAATGCTTGTAAGACCTTTTAATCTACTGAATCAAATGTATTTATATAGTTAGCAAACAATAAATACAGTGAGATCAAACAAGAAATACAGTAAGAATCTTGTATTTTCTGTGCCTTTAAACCACATATCTGATTTTTGAAGTTTTAAGTAATTGTAGAATACCATCTTTGAAAGTATGCCTAATCTCATTTAATATTTTCATCAAAAATACCCCTAGCTTGTACATGGAGAATTCTCATAAAGATTTTGTTGAGATAGTAAGGTGGGCATGTGGGTGGGATATTATTGGTATCCCCTTGATTATCTTTTTCAGTAGCGATACCGTCCATGATTTTTCCCTACTTTGCCCCCTTTTTAGACTTATTTTTACTTCCATTGCTTTTGGCTTTTAAGAAATGTATCACCTTTCACTGTTCTTTTTCTCTAGTATTTTAGAATTTAGTTTGTGTTTTAAATCACTGTTACTTATGGCTTCTTGGAATGGTATTTACTGGACAGTGTGGTTTTTGGTATCTTTGACTTTCCCATTATTATAATTCCTTTACTAAAATTTTTGAAGGAAATTAAGGTCCTCAAGGTCAATATCTATACTTTTTTTCATTTCCTATTTTTGTTGTCATTGATTGTAATTGGAATAGGTCAGATTGAAGATGTGGCAGTTGTTTCTGGTTCAGGTGTTTCCAGTTTCACGTTTGTCCTTCTGATTTGATGTTAACTTTGACTTGGCTCAATCTGTGGTCTGACTATACACAGCTGATTTCTACAACTGATTCATAGCTCAGCCACCAATAGTTCTTGACTGTTAGGGTAGAGTAAATAATTATATTCTCTCTCTCTCTAACACTGCTGGAAGAAAGTATTTATGCTATTTATCTGTGAGCCTTCTATGTATAAGCCTTAGGCCTCTTTTTTTCTTATGTCTGAAAGACACAATAGCTATTAAATATACCATTTCTTATCCCAGTGTCTTTTGCGTAGTCTGTCCTCTATTTGTAGATTAATTTCCCTTCTCACTTCTAAGGCTCAGCTCAGGTGCCACTACTCATAGAAAGACTTTACTGAACCCCACAGTTATCAGTGATCTTTCCCTTCTGCTAACTTTATACTTGCTTATTTATACATCTGGTATGTCCTCACTATACTGTAAGCTATTTGAGGGCAGGAACCACTTTCCCCCCTAATGTTTATATCCCTAGTATAATGGACATATATATACTTAGTAAAATATTTGTTGTGCTAAATAGTATTGGATAATGTCCTTGAAATTTCTGAGAATCACCAAGAGAAATTAGTTTCTGGCAAATGTTATGTGTTCAGCCTTTCCCTGTTTGTCTCCTCTCCCTTCCCCTTCGCTCCAGTTGTAGTGCTGATTTACCAGGCTTGATCTTTTGATCCCTTAGAATGGAGTTAATTTCAGTAAGCTTCTGTATTTATAGTTGAAATAAAACTACTTGAAAAAAATTTCATTCTACCATACTTGACTAGGCGTAGAAATCTTTAGGTTGTGCTGAAATCGTAATATAAATGTTGCTTGTGTATATAAATCAGATTTCAAGGCTTAAAGATTTAGAGATAAAGTGGAACTGATTACCATATAATTTCTTTCTTCTAATTTTTTTTTCTGAATTTACTCTCTTTCTACTTATGTTTTAGAGGAAAATATGTCTCTTCTCCTTTTCAGCCGTGTGTGTGTGTGTGTGTGTGTGTGTGTGTGTGTGTGTGTATGTGTATGTGTATATATTCCTTATCCCATCCCTTCTAAATTTTTCTAGATGTTGATATATCAGTTAACCTTTATTTTTCCTTGTATCTTCAATCTCTTAATAACCACTGACTTGCCTATAAATATGCTCATGTCTCCATAATCCCAAATCCTTATGTTCTCTCACATTAGCCCTATTTTCCTTTTGTTGACAAACTTCTTTCAAAGAGGAGTTCACATTCACTGTCTGTATCTTTTCACATCCCACTTATTTGTATTTTTGGTTCTGCTTTCACCATTTCATTGAAGTTATCTTTTGAAAAGTCATGAATGATGAGTAGAACCATGTTGGCAGGGTACAGGGAACATTCCAGCTGAACTCTCCCAATATTCTCCTCCAAACTACTTTAAAATAACATGTCAAATTGAATTCTAGAGCTCCATAGCCAGCAAAAGGTCAGAGTGAGGCATTTTTTGAAGCACAAGGCAGCTTAGGAGGTTGAAAGGAGAGGTCTGTGACACTCTGACCTGGACCACCACTTGGCAGCAACATCAGTTGTGAACCTGGGAGTCTTTGGGGGCAGCAGCAACAGCAGTAGTTCTATGAGCTCTCACCGTCCAGAGATGGTAAGGGATTAGACAAAGGGTGAAAAAGAGATTATAAGTGACCCCTGTATGGGCAGTGGGCTCAGGACCAGGAGCTGCTTGGCAGTTAACTCAGTAGAGAGTATAAGGACCTTAGTTCCTGGTAGCAGTTAAGAGAACACTATTACCTATGGACTTGGGAGCAGGGGTACTGCCTAGGTAAGGACCAGAATGCAGATTAGGAGAGCAGTGACCTTACCTCTCTCTAGATCACACCACCTTGGAAAACCAAAAACTTACATACCTCAGAACTAACTGCAGAAACAACAGGGCAAAAAAAAGCCTGAAGCTTGGGACAGTGATTGCTCTCCCCCCACCCCCCCACGCTCTATCATCATCACCACCACTA